TGAAGCCTTTGCTCAACAACTCTTGAAGTTGGCCTTTAACTCCTTTAACTCAGCGGGAGCCATTCTATAAGGGGGTATAGAAATGGGGCGAGTACCCGGTTCAAGATCGATGCAGAAGTCAATATCTCTATCCGGTGGCATACCAGGAAGGTCTGCAGGAAACACATCTAAAAACTTGCGGACTATCGAAACCGACTCAATTGAAGGTACTTGGGTGGTATCATCCCTGAGGTGTGCCAAGAAAGCTAAACAACCCTTACTAACCATTCTCTTAGCACGAAGAAAGGAGACGATACGAACCTGATTGGAAGTGTAGTCACCCTCCCACACTAACGGATATGTCCCAGGCTTGGCTAACATCACAGTTTTAGTTATAATAATAATATTAATAATTATAATAAATATAATAATAATAATAGTAATAATAGTAGTAATAATAATAATAACAATAAATATGATAATAATAATAACAATAGTAATAATAATAATAATAATAATAATAATAATAATAATAATTATAATAATAATAATAATAATAATAACAACAACAACAACAACAACAACAACAACAACAACAACAATAATAATAATAACAATAATAATAATAATAATAATAATAATAATAATAATAGTAATAATAATAGTAGTAGTAGTAGTAATAATAATAATAATAATAATTGTAATAATAATAATAATAATAATAATAATTGTAATAATAGTAATAATAATAATAATAATAAGAACAATTATAATCATATTGAAAATAATAATAATAACAATAATAATAACGATGATGATAATGATAATAATAATAATAATAATAATAAATATTATTATTATTATTAGTAGTAGTATAACAATAACAATAACAATAATAATAATAATAACAACAACAACAACAACAATAATAATAATAGTAATAATAGTTATAATAATAATAATAGTAATAGTAATAGTAATAATAGTTATAGTAATAATAATAGTTATAGTAATAATAATAGTAATAATAATAATAATAATAACAATAATATAGATAAAAATAAATTGTTAATAATAGTAATAATAATGATAATAATAATAATAATTATTATAACAATAATAATAATAATGATGATAATAATGATAATAATAACAATAATAATAAAAATAACAATAATAATAATAATAGTAATAATAATGATAATAATAATAAGAATAATAATTTTATTATATACTAATAATAGTAATAATAGTAATAACAGTAATAATAATAATATAAATAATAATACTAATAATAGTAATGATGGTAATAATAGTAGTAATAATAATAAAAATAATAATAATAATAATAATAATGATAATAGTAATTATAATAGTAAAAATTATAAAAATAATAATATAGTAAAAATAATAATTATAAATATAATAATAATAATAATAAATATGATAATAATAATAATAATATCAATAATAACAATAATAATAACAATAACAATAATAATAATAATAATAATAATAATAACAATAAAGATAAGAATCATAATAACAATAATAATAATAATAATAACAATAATAATAAAAATAATCATAATAATAATTATAATTATAACAACAACAATAACAATAATAATAATAAAATTAATAATAACAATAATAATAATAATAATAACAATAATAATAATAACAATCATAATAATAATAATAATAATAATAATAACAACAACAACAACAACAACAACAACAACAACAATAACAACAACAATAATGGCGTAGGATAGTTAACCTGCGCAGGGAAGGTGAAAATGGCGAGGGGACGAGGACGAGGAAGATGCCGGAAAACATCAATAATGACAGTTGGAGCTCGGGTGAAAGCAATAGAGGTTAATGAACAAGAACAAGCTCAAAATGAAGAAGGGAATTTTGATGAAGGAGTTTATGTGAGCTCCAAAGTATCTAGAAGATTGAGTTAAACACTGGATCGGAAAAGGAGAAAGCTCATGAGAACTCAGATCTAGTGCAAATAGAAGCTGGGAGCAAGGTAGAAGGCAATGGAACAGTAACTAAGAAGATGGATGGGAATACTGAAGATAATGAAAGTAATGGAGGCAGTGGAAAGGAAATGAGTAAGGATTACAAAGAACCCTGAGATAATATGTTTAAGAATAACCGTGCAGCTAATAATGGTATGCAGCTGGCTTAGTTTCCACCACAAATAGTTAATGGAGAAACAATGGTACACCTGGAAGGGAAAGAGGTTCCAGAGGAGGAAGATAAGTGGAAATGTGCACTCATAGCATATGTAGTTGGAGAATGCCCTGGGTACAATGCCATGAACAGGTATATCATGATGAACTGGTCAACAGTAGGCAAACCAGATGTATTTTTACATGAAGAAGGGTATTACATAATTAAGTTTAAGAATCTGAGTGATATGAATGAGATTCTATACTCTGGGCCATATACTATAAGCAATCTACCTATCATATTGAAACAATGGTGCTCTAAGTTTGATTCTGGAAAGGTGTTTTTAGCTGAAATTCCATTATGGGTTAATTTTCCAACGTTACCTCTTAATTGCTGGGGAGTGGGATCATTGAGTAGAATTGCATGCTATTGGTGTGCCATTATTTGCTGATGAATGTATTACAAAGCAAACAAGAATATCCTATGCTAGAATGCTTATTGAAGTCAATGTGATTAAACATATTCCTCAGCAGATCACAGCTATGGATCCAAATGGAAGAACCTTCATGCAGGAAGTTGTGATGGAGTGGAAGCCTCAATATTGTGATAAATGTCAAAAGATTGGACACCAAGGTCAATCAGTAACACAGGAGGAGCTACCAAAGAAAAGAAGGCCTTGGAAAAAAGTAACACAGACTTGGCAATATAAAGGGCCAATTCAACAGCAGGAGAGGAAAGATGATCAAAGGAAGATGCCAGTAGTAGATGAAAATAGTGCACAGAAGGAGAAACAAGAGATAGACAAAGGAGAGGAACAAGAAATCAAACAAACACCTGAGCTCAATCTAAGGCCTCATACTGGAAGTAAGCATCTGGATTTTAGTCTATCAAATTTTCCTATGCTTTCAGCTATACCAATTAGAAATGGATTTGAGAGTCTAAGGAATAGCAAACTTGCTTCACTGCCTATTGATAGAGGTGGAGCCTTAAAGACTTGTTAATGAAGTGGAGTGTCTGGAATGTGAGGGGTATGAATAGAAGGTATAAGCAGAAGGAGATCAAGCTGCTTTTACAACAGAATAAAGCTTCATTAGCAGCGATAATTGAAACAAGAGTTAAAGAGGTTAATATCAAAGCTACTTTAAAAGCAATAGCTCCAGGATGGAGGATCATACATAATTATAAGGAGGCTGCAAATGGTAGAATTTGGATAATATGGGATGAAAGTTGGTATGATACCAAGTTAATAAACAACTCAGTTCAAATGATTCATTGTCATATAAATGAAAGGAGCAAAGGATATCAATTTAATCTCACAGTGGTATATGGTTTTAATACTTTAGAATAGAGAAAAAGCTTATGGAATGACTTGAAGATGTTGGTTCAAAATGTCTCAGATCCTTGGATCATAATAGGAGATTTTAATGCTATTTTATCCCCTAAAGATAGATTAGCTGGGGCTCCTGTTACTTTGAATGAGATAAGGGATTTTGAAGAATGTGTTAAGGACATGGGCATCACTGAAGTACAATGGAAAGACAATTATTATACTTGAACCAATAAACAGATAGGTAATGCCAGAATTGCTAGTAGAATTGACAGAGCCTTTGGGAATGATATTTGGATGGATAAATGGTTTCATGCTTCTATAGAATATGGGAATCAAGGTGTGTCTGATCATAGCCTTATGCATTTGCTACTTCATTAAAGTTATCATCAGATCAGAGTGAGTTTTAAGTTCTTTAATGTATGGATTGAACATGACTCTTTTTTGGAACTGGTGGATCAAGTTTGGAAGCAGAAGCATGGAAGTGAAGTAATTAAGGAGATATGGTATAAGTTAAAGGCACTCCAGCCAGTCTTGAGACAATTGAATAAGAGAGAGTTTCAATATATAGGACAGAAGATTGAGAAAACAAGAAGTGAGCTTGTAGAACTTCAAGATCAACTATACAGCCAGGCAAGTGATCAGCTAGTTACTAAAGAGAAGGAGTTACTAATAAAGCTGGAGAAGTGGTCAATGATAGAGGAAAGTGCTCTAAGACAAAATCAAGAGCAAGATGGATTAAGTTGGGAGATGCAAACAATAAATACTTCAGTTCAGTGATAAAGGAGAGAACTCAAAAGAAGCATATTAGAAGTATATTATCTATAGATGGAAGGATGATATATGAACCCCAAGAGATTCAAGAGGAGTTTGTTATGTTTTGTAAAAGTCTAATGGGATCTTCAGCAGGTAAACTTCCAGCTATAAATGCTAAGGTGATGAGAAGTGGGCATGTATTATCAAAGCAGCAAAGAATCCATTTATGTACAGACATAACAGAACAGGAGATTTATACAACATTGCAGTCTATTGGGAATGATAAGGCTCCAGGTATAGATGGCTATAATGCACTTTTCTTTAAGCATACTTGGAAGATCATTAAAAAGGATGTTATTGAGGCTGTCATAAGCTTCTTCACAACAGGAAAGTTGTTTAAGCCTTTCAATTGTACTCTTGCATCTTTAATTCCAAAAGTCTAAAGTCCTAAAACTGTGAAGGAGTATAGGCCAATTGTTTGTTGCACTGTTCTATATAAAATCATTTCAAAGGTGATAACAAAAAGAATGCATGATGTTATTCATACAGTTATTTGTAATAGTTAGGCTGGATTTATACCAGGGAGGAAAATTGCAGGCAACATTATTCTGGATCATGAATTGGTCAAGGATTATACAAGGAAGAATATTTCTCCTAGAAGCATGCTTAAGATTGATCTACAGAAAACCTATGATTCAGTTGAGTGGACTTTCCTAGAACAAGTAATGGTAGGCTTGGGATTTCCAGAGATGTTTATTCAATGGGTGATGCATTGTGTCAAAACAATGAATTATACTATAGTTGTTAATGGACAAACTACTCAAAGATTTGATGCAGCTAAAGACCTTAGACAAGGGGATCCTATGTCACCTTTTTTGTTTGCCATAACAATGGAATATCTTAGCAGGCTCCTAAAAGGAATTCAAGAAGAGAAAGCATATACATATCATCCTAAATGCTCTAAGCTGGACATTACACACTTATGTTTTGCAGATGATTTACTATTGTTTTCAAGAGGAGATTTGGAGTCCATAGAGATACTTCAAAGGTGCTTTTCAAAGTTCTCTCAAGCAGCCATAATGGCATACCACGCCCGACGTCGTCCAACCGTGTGTTCTTTCCAATAGCAATGATTGCATGCCACACACAATATCGTCCTTTTGTGTGTGCAGTCTAAGGTTTAGAAAGGCATGCCACACCCGACGTTGTCCGACTGTGTGTCCTATCCAAGGGTCATGATGGCATGCCACGCCCAATGTCGTTCGACTGTTGTGGTGTCAAAGGACTTTGATGGCATGTAATGCCTACCGTTTTCCGACTGTGTGTGCTATCCAAGGGCTAAGCGGGCATCAAATGCCTATCTTCGTCCAACCTTTGTGTTGTCCAAGGGTGATATGGAATGCCATGCCCTATTTCGTCCATTCGTTTTTCGGTAAAACTGCGATGATGGCATGCCATGCCAGACATCGTGCGACTGTATGTGCTGTGAAAGTGCAACACAGGCATGCCACTCCCAACGTCGTCCGATCGTATGTGTTTTCCAAGGGCTATGTTGGCAGGCCATGCCTAACGTCGTCCGATGGTGTGTGGTATCCAAGATCAATGATTGAATGCCACGCTGGATGTCGTCCGACTGTGTGCTCAGTCTAAGGACCATGATGGTATGCCATGGCTAACATTGTCCATCGGTGTGTACAGTCCAAGGGCGATGATGGCATGTCATACCCGACTTTGTCCAACCGTGTTTGTCATCCAAGGGATATGATAAAATGCAATGCCCGATGTTGTCTGATCGTGTGTCCTGTCCAAGGGCTATGATGTAAGCCGTGCCCAACATTGTCTGACCGTGTGTGTTGTCCAAGGGATACTCAGGCATGCCACGCTCAACGTTTCCCCATCGTGTGTGCAGTCTAAGAGAGATAATGGCATGCAAAACCTGATGTCGTCTGACCGTGTATGATGTCCACGGGACAGGATGTCATGCTACATTCGAGGTTGTCCTCATGTGTGTGCTTTCCAAAAGCGATGATGGCAGGCCACACTCGACATCATCTGTCTGTGTGTGAAGTCCAATGGTTATGATGGCATTCCATGTTCGAGGTTGATAGACCGTTTGTGCTGTCCAAGGGTTATGATGACATGTCACGCCCAATGTCGTTCAACTATGACTAATGTCTAAGGTCTATGATGACATGCCACGCACAACGTCCTCCGACCTTGTGTATTGTCGAAGGGCTACGCAGGTATGCCATTCCTAACTTCTTCCAACTGTCTGTGTTATTTAAGGGCTATAATGGCATTCTGCCTACAACATCATTCGACCATGTATGGTTTCCGAGGGCTACGGGGCATGCCAAACTTGACTACATTTTACACTATGTGCTTTCGAAGAGCAATGATGGCATGCCAAGCCCAACGTAGTCTGATTGTGTGCGTTGTCCAACGGCGATAATGGCATGCCATTGACCGTGTGTGTGCAGTCCAAGGGCGATGATGGAATGCCACGCCCATCTTCATTTGACCGTGGGTGCTTTCCAAAGGAGATGATGGCATGCCACGCCTTACATCGTCAATCTGTGTGTGTAGTCCAAGGTGATGATGGAATGCCATGTACGAGGTCGACCGACTGTGTGTGCTATCCAAGGGCTATGATGACTTTTAACACTTAACGTCATTAGACCGTGTGTGCTGTCCAAGGGATATGTTGGGATGCCACGCCCGACGTATTCCACTATGTGTGGTATTCAAGGGCTACGCAGGCATGGCACGCCCGAAGTCTTTCTACTCTTTTTGTTGTCTAAAAGAGATGATGGTATGCCTCGTCCGACGCTGTTCGACTATGTGTACTTTCCATGGGCGAAGATGGAATGCCATGACCGACATCGTTCATTCTTGTGTGTAGTACAAGAGTGATGATGGAATGCCAGGCCCAACATGGTCCTTCTGTGTGTGTAGTCCAAGGGCGATAATGGCATGCCACGCCCGACGTCGTCTTAACGTGTGTGCTTTCCAAAGGTGATTATGGAATGCCATGCCCGACATCATCCATCTGTGTGTGCGGTCGAAGGGAGATCATGGAATGCCACGCCAGACATCGTTCATTCTTGTGTGTAGTACAAGAGTAATGATGGCATGCCATGACTGATGTCGTCCGATATTATGTGTTTTCCAATGGCTATGATCACATGTTACGCGCGACGTTGTTCGACTGTGTGCGCTGTCTAAGGGCTACTCTAGCATTCCACGCCCTACGTTGTCCGACCATGTGTGTAGTCGAAGGGCGATAATGGCATGCCACGTTCAATATCGTCATACAGTATGTGCATTCTAAAGGAAATGATGGCTTGCCACGCCCCACATAAGCCATCTATGTGTGGAGTTCAAAGGAGATGACGTCATGCAACATCAAACATTGTCCGACCGTGCATGCGGACCAAGGGGCATAACGGCAAGCCACTCCCTCTTTCGTCCGACCATATGTGTTTACCAAGGTCTATGATGGTATGTTATGCACAACGATGTCCGACTGCATGTGCAGTCCAAGGGAGATAATGGCATGCCACGCCCAACGTCATCCCCTGTGTATGCTGTCCAAGTGCTACTCTTGAATTCTATGCCCAAACCTGTGTGCACTCTAAGGGGGATGATGGTATGCCACACCTGACGTCGTCTGACCGTGGGTGCTTTCCAAAGGTGATGATGGAATGCCAGGCCCAATATCGTCCCTCTGTGTGTGTAGTCCAAGGGCGATGACGGCATGCCACGCTCGAAGTCATCTTATTGTGTGTGCTTTCCAAAGGAGATGATGGCATGCCTTGCCTGACATCGTCCATCTGTGTGTGCAGTCCAAGGGAGATGATGGAACGCCACGCCCGATGTCGTCATACCATGTGTGCAGTCCAAGGGCGATGATGGCATGCCACACCCGACGTTGTTGATCATGTGTGCTTCCCAAGGGCGATTATGGCATGCCACGTATGAGGTCGACTGACTGTTTGTGCTATCCAAGGGCTATGATGACATGCCTCGCTCAATGTCATTCAACCATCTGTACTTTCCAAGGGCTATGATGGCATGCCACGCCCGACGTTGTCTGACCGTGTATGCTATCCAAGGGCTACGCAGGTATGCCATGCCTGACTTCGTTCGACCGTGTGGGTTGTCCAAAGGCGATAA